CATGGGATAAAAAGAGTAATTAAGCATTCAATATAAAGAAGTAGATTTTTGTAACTCAATTTTATTAAAATTATTTATTTTGAGTTGCTTAACATAAATCTTTTATTTTTTATTCACTACCTGCATATTTATTGCATAAATTTACAAATTTTTGCTTCATTTAAATGAGAGATTCCCATTAAATCAAATCACAAAGGTGGTTGGCAAGTCTATTAGATTTAATAGCAAATATTTAAGCATTTTCTTCTTTTTTTTTTTTTTTTGTCCCAACACATTTAGCATTTTCTTTTGATGGCTCTAAATGAGAGCCATATTAGCCGAAGCCGCAAGCACCCAAATTTAGCCATCCCAAAATTCAACCCTTCTCTTTTTCTCACACCCAAATTTAGCCATCCTCAAACTATCTCTTCCTCTCTCTCTATAAAAACACCTTAATCTCCACCATTTTTGGCCCCCGCGAATAAAACTCTATTCCTACATCTCTCCGTTCTCTTTCGATCCCTCTCCTCTCTTAGTAACAGTCGTTTCTGGTAGCCCCCACGCACGGTTGTTACGGATAGAGAAGAATCGATCATCATGGGGTTGCTCGACAAGCTCTGGGACGAAACTCTTGCAGGGCCCATGCCCGACACCGGCCTCGGCAAACTTAGAAAGAATTCAGCCGCAAGATCACCTCCGGCCACCGAGATCATGATAACCAGGAGCATTACGATTCTTAAGAGTGCTAACTCCAGCTATCCGGGTTCGGCTCCGGTAACTCCTTCCGGTTCTAGCACTCCTAAAACACCTTTGACTCGTAAGTTCTTTAATTAACCAACTTTGAATGAAGCTTTATATGTGTATATAATGAATCTGAATTTATTTAGAATTTTGCATGCAGCGGGGACACCAAGTGCGGATTTCAGGAGATTCTCTTGGAGAAAATTGCCAACTGAAACTCTGGAAAGCGCTGAGTCTAGAAGTCCGACCGTTCACGACTGGTTCTCTTTTTATTTTTCCTGTTTGAAATTACATATTTGCCCTTCTTGACCACAAAAATTTCAAGTCAACTTGGGTTATTAACTATTTTGAACAGTGTTTAACTAGAGTAGGGGTTTATAGTATTCATTATATTTATATAAAATTTTAATTAATTATTTTTTTAATATTTAAGATTATTTATATTTATTAAAAATAATTATTTTTATTTAAAAAATATAATAAATTTTAATTATTAAAAATAAAAAAATTAAAAACTTATATAAATATAATATATAAAATTTTTATATGAATAAATTCCTCTGCTTAGAACTAATACTAGGCAATATTAACGGTTAAAGGTTACTCCCACCATATAAAACAATAGGCGTTTTTTAATAAAAAATTTATTTTAGATAATTATTTTTTATATTTTAACAAAATAATTTTTTAAATTTCATTTTTGTTATTATTTTTTTAATTTTAATTATTTATCGTATTGTAATTTAAATTTCATTATTTTTATTTTTTAAAAGATAATAAAAATAAAAATAAAAATAATCTCAAATCTTTAATATAAAAATAAAATCAAAATATGTGTGCTACTCCTTTCATCTCAAAAATAGACGTAATAATTATCTCAAATCTTTAATATAAAAATAAAATAAAAATGCGTGTAACATAAACAGTATTTGCCCAAACAAATTGAGTATCTAAAATTGACTTTGTTTAGATTATGAGACTCGTAATACTTCACACTATATTTGGCTTGAGTTAAATGAAGATAAAAGATGAATTTTTTTTATAATTAATATTATAATTTAATTAATAAAAAACATATTCTTTCTCTCTTTTTTATTTGTCTCAAATTAAATATAACTTTTAAAATTGAAATTAATTAATATTGTTCCTCAAAAGAGTATATTAAAAGAAAAACTTAGACAAAAATATTGGTGATGGTATATATATTTATAAAAAGACATTTCCATGCGTGACTAATGTTTGTAGTTTTGCATATATCGTGCAGGATCATAATTAATGCTTTGGATCGTTGAGCTTCGGGAATGAAATTGATGGGTAATTTTTCCTAGAAGAATAAATTAAGGCAAACACGGCCTTTTTGTTTTCTACATAGAGAGAATTTGTAGGAAAATTTGTTAAATCGTATGCATCACATCAATACATACGATATTACAATATATTACATTATAAACAATTAAGACGGTCTGTGTGATGAGCAGTCGCACCTGGAACCGCTAGCTGCTTCTTGGAGTTTCTTAGGAAGGCTGGTTCTGCAGCTTGAGATTGGATTTTGATTTTTCTTAAGTCTTTGTACATGTTGTCTCCAAGTTTTCTTTGTTTTGATGGCTTTGGACTTGTAAATATTTTCAGTATTTAGATATGGATTGTATGTAAAATTAATCCTCTTCCAATCAATAGAACTCTTTTGGAGCTTTTAAAAACAATAGTCCACTTGTTATCTTGCAACTTTTTTTTTTTTTTTTTCAGCAAGGGCAGTTATAGGGAAAAAGAGAAAAGAATGACTCCAGCTCATGGACTGAGAGAAGCGTCTATAATTTATATGTTAAATATAAATATTTAAGTAGTTGATAAAATTTAAATTTTCGACTAATCATATATAAGTATTAAAACTCAAGAACGAATTGTTAAATTTAAAATGTCGGTTTTATCTTGCAACCTTGAACCTAGTACTTTTGTTTTGTGGTATGAGTTTTTCTATTAATATCTGTATTCGTAAATTAGATTTTATTCAAATAAAATATGAGAAAAGAAAGCAAAATGGAACTTCTATATATTTGTCAAACTATGTAAAGATATTAAGGATCTATAAATTGAAATCTAACTAGCTAGTGATATACATATGCAAAGGAGCTAACTTAGAGTCGTCGTCTGGTCTAATTTTTTGAGAAAAATTTTGTTTGAGTAAATCTTTGACGAAAATGTTAAACACGAATTCATATAAAATCATTTTTAAAATATTTAAAAATTGCTAAAACTTGTCAAATTCAAGAAACTAAATAAAAAAAATAAAAGAAATCAACTCTGAAAACAAGTTTTTTTTGTTTTTTTGATCAGCCAAAGTGAGGATTTAAATTTAATGGTGTACAAGGGGTACACCTACCCATATTGTATAGAATACTTACATTACATCAAAAAGTAAATCAAGTTCTATAGATGATTCATCAAAAACTTTAGATATGGTTGCTATACTCTAAGCCTTAGTAGTCATCACCCTCTTGCATGCCTGAATTGGGTCTCTGAAAGCCATAAATCCTTTGATATATTTGGCCAAAGACTAGCTTTCAACCACATCAATGATCATATCTTGATTAGCTCAAATATATTGCTAAATGTGTCAGTGTTTTCCTTAAAAACCTTTTGGTTTCTCCATGTTCATAGTGACCAAATAACTGCAAACTAGGTCACAAGCCATGCTTGTTTTGATTTTTCTTCAGAAAATAGTTCTGCATGCTATTGCAAATGGTTCCAGCCTTCATAGTGTTGAGGAACAGCAATACCCCACCAATTGTAGCAGAAGGACCAAACAAGCCATGCTGTTCTGCAAGTGAATAGAAGGTGATCTGTTTCTCCAGCATATTGTCCACATAAAGTGCATGTCAAATCCCTCTCAATGCTTCTTATTCCCCTTTTCCACAAATTATCTTTTGTTGGAATTTTGTTTTTTGTGGCTTTCCAAGCAAACGTAGAGACCTTTAGGAGTACATTTTTATTCCAAATCAACTTGTAGTTATCAATTCTACGTGGGTTGGAGTTGATTTGCAGCAGATTGTAAGCTGATTTCACCGTGTATTTACCCTTGTGATCTTGCTACCAAACTGAATAGTCCTCTTGTCCCTTAATTAGCTATTTCCCTTGTAATGCGTCCATGAGTTCCTGCAAAAGCTCAAGTTCCAAAGCCAAAAGATTCCTCCTCTATTTCCATCTCCATTTCCATTCTCCATCCTCCCATTCCCCCATGTTAGAGATTAATGCATCTTTATCCCCTGATATCCTAAACAATCTATTAAATCTAATATTTAAAGGAATAGGCCCCACCCACTTGTCATGCCAAAACAAGGTCTTTGATCCCTCCCCAACCACTTTCTCAATGTTCTCACTAAGCCATCCTTCTCTGCCAATTCCCATTATATCTAGTCGCTATAGCTCCTTCCACCAACTAGAACCATGCACATCCCATTCGCTACCCCTCTGTTCATTAATTCTATTCACCTTATATTTGACCTCTACTACTCTCCTCCAAAGAGCATTTTCTTCCTCTAGCAATCTCCATCTCCACTTTCCTAGTAAAGCTACATTGAAGATACCCAAATTCTTAACACCTAACCCTCCCTCATCCTTGCTTTAGCAAACATGGGCCCACCCAACCCAAGAGATCCTATTATTTTCCTCACTACCACCCCAGAAGAATCTCCTTTGAATTAATGATAATAGATTAATTACCTTTTTGGGTGCTTTTAGTGTTGAGAAGTAATAAACTGGGATGCTCGAAAGGACAGCTATTAGGAGAATAATACGACCACCAAAGGACAGAGAGTCACATCGCCAAGAAGACAATTTCCTCCGTAAGCATTCAATAACCAGAGCCCAAGTAGATATCTTCTTGGAGGTAGCACCGACAGGAACTCCAAGATACTTAAAAAGGATATCGCCCACCACACAATTAATCAAATCAGCCATATCAAAAAGCTTATCACCTTCCACATTAATACCAGATAATGAGCTTTTAAAGAAGTTCACCTTAAGGCCGAATATGAGTTCAAAGCTTCTAAAAATGCCTTTTATCGCCCAAACATTCTGTGGAGATGCCTCACTGAAAATAATTGTATCGTCTGCAAATTGTAGATGTGTGATGGCAAGGTCCCCTGAACCAACCGATACTCTTGTTAGTAGCCTTTCCTCTACAGCTTTTGTAATTAAACCATTAAAAGCTTCAACTACTACCAAGAATAAGAAGGGAGCAAGTGGGTCACCTTGCTGCAAACCTTTCGACATTTTGAACTCAGCAGTAGGACTCCCGTTCACCAACACTGAAGTAGTTGCAGAGGCTAAACATTCTTGGATCCATAAACGCCATTTTTCACAAAACCCCAACTTCTGCAGCATGCAGTCAAGAAAACTCCAGTTAACATTATCATACACCTTCTCGAAATCTGCTTTGAAGATTAAAGCCGGCCTCTTTCTCCTTTTTGCATCATGAATAAGCTCATTTGCTATGATTATACCATCTGCAATATGCGTCCCACTAATGAAAGCTAATTGGTTTTGGCTAATAATGGAATTCATCACCTTCCTCATTCTGTTAGCCAATAGCTTAGCCACAATTTTATACATACAACCAATGAGGGAAATTGGGCGGTATTTTGATAAACTTGAGGGGTTCTCCTACTTGGGGATCAAAACAATGAAAGAAGCATTGCTACCTTTCACTAACCTTCCATTCGAATGAAATTCGTAAATGAACTCACATATATCCTCCTTTAGGATCGGCCACATTCTTTTGATGAGGTTAAAATTTAAACCATCAGGACCTAGACTCTTGCTTCCATTGCAACTCCAAACAGCTTCTCTAATTTCCATTGCAACTCTGAAAACAAGTTAGTTTGGAACTAAAGTGACTGATGGTCTAAAACAACTATTCAGAAAATTAAAAGAGTTATTTGAGAATACAGAAAATAAAAATTATTAAAAATATTATAACATCTATAAGTATAAGAATAAAATGAGTTAAATATAATATACATTTCACTGAAATATTATATATTATGTAATTAAAATTAAAATTAAATATCTTGACATATAATACTAGATGTTCTAATTTTCATTTCCCTGTGTAAAGAGAATCCATTGGTTTTTTTTGGTAAATGAGAATCCATTAGTTTACCATCCCACAAAAAGGAGATCTATAATTGACAGAGGATACCTTTGTTTGATTTTTTTTTTGTTTGATTTTTTTTTTCTTAAAGATAAAACAAAAATGAGGATCTATTGTTTACTGTTAACAGTAAACACGTGCTACCGGAAAAGGCAAAACCCCTCTCTTACTCCCCCAAAATTATCTCAAATAAACATGTGAGTTTCTGAACTCCTCCATGTAACCTAGTGGATAGGTCACGCTACTCCAATGAGTAACAGGTGGAGATCACCCGATTTCGATTTCTGCTACTAACCTATAACAGATACTAACTCCTAACAAATGTTTCCCTTGTCAAAAAAAAAAAAAAAAAAACATGTGAGTTTCTAAAGTAAAAATGGTATAACTAAAACCTCAAACCCTTTAAATAATATAAATTAAACTTCACCCCTTTCAAACTTACAAATGAACTCTTATCATTAACAACTTCACACAATAACCTCGTATATATCGTTTATTCTTTGTTTTTGTTTGGTCTCATTTTTACACATGAATAATATTGTGGATCAAAGAAACTTTGGATGATAAAAAAAAAAACCTCCCAAAATGGCTCATGTGATCCCTTATTTTATTTAGTATTCTCAAGCCAAGTGAATCATTTTGGGGAATTTTACTTTCAAAGAGTTATTTAATCTAAATTAGCATATATGTATAAAAGTATGCCCAAGTAAAGGGAAAAAAAAAAGATTTTGTTAGATCATAGTATCAAGTCAGTAACAATGAGGGTTGGTTTGTATCTTTTGAAACGTTTAAGTGTTAATTTGTATCATTTGAGGGATTTGAAAACTTATTTGCACCATTTTTAGTTTAGTAACTCAAGTTTTAATTAGGACTAAGTATGGGGGCTTTAAGAGTGGGTTTTACCTCGGGAAAACGGGAAAACCTACTTTTAGCAATTTACCTTTTGTAGGTTTTAATCTCTCACCTTATATTATGGTACTTTTAATTCTTTACCTTAATAAATTTGTAAATTTTAATCTCTCACCTTATACTATAGCACTTTTAATCCTTCACATATACGAGTTAAAGAAAATAATTATTACTTAAGGTCAGGTTATAACATTCTATTAGTTTCATTAGTTAATTGTTAATTCTGTTAACTAACTGTTAGTATCTGCTAATATTCTGTTATAGAAAACATGAATTTTAAATTCAATTTTATTTGTTAGTTTCGTTAATGGAATATTAACAAAACGCTAACAGTTAATTAATAGAATTAACAGAATATTATAACTTGATTTTAAGTAAAGGTTATTTTTTTTTAACTCGTATAAGTGAGAAACTAAAAGTATTATAGTATAAAGTGATGGGTTAAAACTCATAAATTTATTAAGATAAAGAGTTAAAAATATTATATTATAAGTTAAGGGATTAAAACTTACAAAGTTATTAAAATAAAAGGTTAAAAAAAAGGATTTTAGCCAAGGAAAACACAGCAGATACGCAAAGCAGTGGTGACGTCAGCATCAAGACAGAAACAGAGTGATTTTCCCGCGTCAGAAAGATCTGTCGGTTCACCGGCAGTTGTCAGTCACCGTCGTTAGCCTTGGATTCCTTTACCTGGATCCCTCGGCTTGGATTTGGGACGCAGACGTCCGGTTAGACTCATCGAAGTTCAAACCAAAATCCCCGTGATTTCTCCATTGGACGAACTTTTCTATTGGGTTCCACATGGTTAAATTTCATAATTACTTAACTACCCCTATCTAAGATAGCAATTTTCTTTATTAATTCTTGAATTAAATAAA